GGGGGGGGGGGATATCCATATAATGCAAAATTATAGGGAGGAATAAGTTTATGCTGGATTTAGTGTTGGTGTGGACGAATGCTGTGATTACTTTGTAGTTGACCATCCACGCCATGCACTGACTGACTACTTCAACTCCAGTGGAGGAGAGAGAGTATCCATAATCTGTTCGTCAATTTGATCTCACCAGTAAAGTATTATAATATCGAAAGATTTCTCCAATTTTTTCAAGATCAAACCCTTTGCATACCCCATCCCCTTTTTTATATGTAGAAGCATACCCCAAATTGGAGTCCTATATCCGGCCACACCCACACCGTGCGCAGAGACAACACAACACAATAAGCCAAGCACAGCACAACACACTAACACTAAAATATAAATACTATCACACGATCAGATGCATGAGATAGCAGGTGAGAAAAGGTGATGATCATCTGTTCCGTACCCCCTTATATCCATGCATGTACAGATACATGATTAGTTATGGATGGGTACAGATTAGAAGCAACCAGGTGGCTGGTCTGTGTGACGGGTTTGTACCACCTTCTTCGAAAAATAGCTGGGAGTTGAGCTGCGGGCATCCTTGTCCAGTTAGTATGTACAAAGTAGTCACTTTCTAACTACTAATTACCCCGCGCATTCCCCTCACGTTCTGGAGTAACTAGTAATGATTTATGATGGTCTTTGCAGGTGGAATGGAGTAAGTCGGGGGTTGTGTGTGTGCGTGGGAGATGGAATGAGATGAAATGCACTGGTGTGTATTGGGTAGATGTCACATGCAGCAAGTTGCATAAGGTGATCAGGTGCTGAGTTGTGTGCATATTTCTTTTGACATAGGTAGGTAGCTAACTAGTTAACTCATAGTTAGTACTGTTTGTTTGCTTATGTTGGGTTGTAGCTCTTACAACTTATTATCCAGAGCAGCTTCATATGTTGGAAGTTATCCCTGTGTTATTATTACTCTAATACTTACTTACTTACTTACTGTCAGTAATACATTCATAACAGCTATACCTTACCATTGTTGCCAATACCCCCAGCCCTTGCCCCCTTGGTTGAACTAAGTACCGTGTACCCCCATACGTTAAAATTGTGCTGCCTGTAGTTCACCCAAGACCAAACAAGGCAGTGCACATCCATCGTGTCGCAAACTAATCTTAGTAGAATGTTTAAACAGAGCCCACAGGGGGTTCCAAAGTGATGTCAGATAATGACGCCAGCATTAACGTATTTATAACCTACTAGGGAAATTGCCAACACCCATCGCGGAGGCTGAGTAGATGTTTACATTTTTGTAGCTCCCCGGTTGTCGTGTCAAAGCTTGAATCCTTCCGTCCAGTAAACACGACGACTTCTGAGACTTTATGTGCTCGGATCGATGGCAAGGCCCAGTCTAGCCACGGTAGCTGTGCTTAGTAGACAGGTTGCGTATCACTGGTAGTTGGTCCATGGGTTGGATGTGTCGTCGACTTCGTGTTCGTATTCATACTTACTTTGCCTGCTGCATTCGGGGATGCCAATGACGGGGAGTATACTTCCACCCATTATTAATGTGGTTGTGAGTATCTGGTACAAAACGAGTTTCACCTTGAATCATGTAAAACGTATAATTATTTACAGTAAACAATCATCCATCGTTAATTGTCACTATACACAATACCTAAAAATGAAGATTAACTCCCTGTGTATACAAATCACATGACCATTAGACACGAACCCAACCCGGAGGGTCCCGATCCAACGCTCCGAAACTCCGAGGTGCCCCGCGTGGGGTTCGGTTTCATCCTCCAGCTTCCATATATCCATCATCAGTCTACACACCCTTCAACCCCAACCAACATATACAACAACATCACTACATCCAACAATGGCATCCCAATACGGTGACCTTCGTCACCTTCTCCCAGGCAACTACAAGCGTCTCATCGCCGACTGGCTCGAAGAAGACTGTCCCAGCTTCGACTATGGCGGCTTCGTAGTGGGGGAATCCGAAGGCGAGGCGCGGTTACTAGGAAAGAGCGAGGTAACCACCCCCAATCTATAGAAAGGAAGAGATACGCATACTAACACAATATGTTACAACTAGGGCATCCTCGCAGGCGTCCCCTTCTTTGACGAAGTCTTTTCCCAACTTGGATGCTCGTACGTCCCCCTCCCCCTCCCCCCCTCTCCAATCACCAAAAACCCCCCATACTAAAGAAATCAGAGTAACATGGCACATCACCGAAACCACCCCCATAGTCCCTATAACCCACTGCGCGACCGTCACCGGTCCGATCCGCAAAATCCTACTCGGCGAGCGCGTCGCCCTTAACATCCTCGCGCGCTGCTCCGGCATCGCAACCAAGACCTCCACTCTAGTATCCATCCTCCGCAGCCACAACTGGCCCGGCACATTAGCCGGCACGCGCAAAACGACCCCGGGCTTCCGAGTCGTCGAGAAATACGGTATTCTCGTTGGCGGGGCGGACCCTCACCGACATGATCTCAGCGCCATGACCATGTTGAAGGATAATCATGTGTGGGCGTGTGCGAATAACTCGGCGGCGAAAGATGGCGGGGATAAGGCGGCTGTGGAGGAGGGGTCGATTGTGCGCGCTATTCCGAGGGCCGTGCAGGCGGCGAAGGCGGCCGGGGGTTTCGCGACGAAGGTCGAGGTTGAGTGTCGGAGTTTGGAGGAGGCGGATGCGGCCATTGAGGCGGGCGCGGATGTGATTATGTTGGATAATTTCACGCCGGAGGGGGTCAGGGATGCGGCGCGGAAGCTGAAGACTGGGTGGGCTGGGAAGGAGAAGGCGTTCTTGATTGAGGTTAGTGGTGGGTTGAATGAGGCGAATGCTGCCCGTTATGCTTGTCCGGATGTGGATATCTTGTCGACGAGCTCGATTCATCAGGGAACCGGCATTGTGGATTTCTCTTTGAAGGTGTCGTTGCGGTAGTGGGTGGATCTTTATGATGTGATGATGTGTGTGACGTGATGTGTATATCCTACTTGCTAGACTGTTGTATTACTTCGGATGAAGACGCAGCCTACGGCTAGCTGTGCCCAAAATCAAAACAATCATCCTGCATGTTTATGTACATGTGTCTCGGTGCCATTGCTATCTGGCTTAACCAACGCGTTCAATGCACAATGCCCACACGGCAAATGTCCAAGAAAGAAGACGAACCGAAGAATGAACCGAAGGGTATATGATACATGCAATGATAGGAACATCAAAAGAGCCCTTATGAACACAAGGTGGACTAGAACATCCTTCAAAAGAATAGCACACGCAAGCCTTGCCCTGGAACGCCCAATATGCCCAACGACCATGGCCCACGACCGTCTCCACGACCGTCCTTTCATCCCCCAAGGCTAGGCTCAAACCTCAATGTCAACGTAAATGCCCTCGCCTTCACTCGAGCTCATCTCATCATCCCGACGCCGATCGTATCCGTCACTCATGCCCGGGTCTGACCCCTCGAGCCGCCGTTGACCATGCTCGCGCACGTCCTCATCGGTCGAGGTGCCCGCGGATAGCTCTTTGCGCACACGCTGTCGCTCGAGCTGTGCGCGGAGTCGCTGGTTCTCCGCATCGCGCTCTTCCAGCCGCCGCCGTGCGCCGCTTCGGTCCAGAAGGCGGGCCTCCCGTTCGGCCTTCAATCGCTTCTCCAGCTCATGCAAGCGCTGAATCCACTTCTCATTGCTCCCCGGATCAGCGGACATGTGCCGGGAGCGAGAACCTTGCACTAGCGCCCCTGGTCCATCGTTGGCGAGTGTCGTCGTCGAAGTCGTCGAGGACGAATGCGAGGGCTGGGGGATGCCAGTGGTGGCGCTCCGTGACAGACCGCGCGACGGGGTGGGTTTCTCTACTGCTGAATGATGACGGATCAAAGAGCCTGGTTCTGCATCGGCTCCAGGGTCTAGGCTGAGCGCGCGTGTCGGTGACCGCGGGGAGTTGGATCCAATGCCGACGGCGGCGGCGGAGACAGCTGCAGAGGCGGGTCCCCGGCTGCGCGAGTGCGACTGAAGCAAGTTCAGCTCGGCCTTCAAAAGTCGGTTCTCACCCCGGAGCTTCGCCATTTCGGGTGACATCCCGGACTGGTTCCGGCTGTGCTGTTGTGCGCGCATGTTCATCATGGACTCCTCAAGGCGGTCAAGCTTCTTGACACGCAGACTGAAGGTATGCTCCAGCATCTGGTACTGTTTGGTCAGGTCCCGTTCAACACCCTTGATGCGCGACTTGAAGCCCGAGATCACGCTTTCGACGGTCTTGACAGCGAGCAGAAGGTTGCGGCTGAACCCGGGCCAGAAGAGGATGTTGCCAATGACCTCCTGGCTGGGGAGATTGCCGTTGATCAAGCTGTTCGAATGCGCCCAGTCCGGTCCGCACATGGCTGACAGACGTTTCCAGATGTTCAGGAGCATCACGTTGCGCTCGCTCAGCTGGTCGCGGAACTGCTGCTCCAAGGTCGTGAAGCGCTTGCGATCCTGATTACGCGCATTCTCCAGCTCCGAGATGCGCGAGTTGTTCTGCGTAATGGTGCGCGAGGCCTGGTGGTGGGATTTAAGAGCCTGCTCGAACGACTGCTTGTCAGCACGGCGGGCATGACGCTCGCGGTCGAGCAGCTCGGCCAGCTTGCGCGATTCCAGCCCATGACTCTCCAGCAGAGCATCGCGATTGCGCAGAAGCGACTCCTTGTCGTCCAGCTTGGCTCGCGTGCTTTCGAGCTCCAAGGCTGTCGATTCCAACTCCTTCTGCAGCTTCATGATGTTGGAAATTAGACTAGAGCGACTGCCAGTCAGATCGCCCAGCGTCTCACGTAGATTGTTCTCCAAGTCCAGCAACCGCTCCTTCCAGGTGGCGGCTTCAATCTCCTGCGCCGACAGGTTCTTCCTAAGTTTGCGGTTCTCCTCCTTGGCGGTGGTTGCCTCCCGGTTCAGCTCGTTGACAATGCGCTGCACCTCTTGCTTCTCTTTGCTGCCTACAACCTCACGCTGGTGCCGTTCCTCCGCCAAGCGTTCTTCGAGTTCGCGTGTCTTGTCGCGCTCACTTTGCAGGCTTAGCTGGTAGGACTTGAGCTCTGATTCAAGATCTCCTATCTTGATTTTGTCGCCGTCTTGCTCCTCCCGGAGGAACGCAATCTCATTCTGACTCGACTCAATTTGCACGGTGAGCCGCTGGACTTTGGTGTTGGCCTCATAGAGATCCTTCTCCAGCGACTCCATCTCTCGGTTGCAATCCTCCAGTTCCTGCTGGACGGCCTTGTACCGCTGGAGATTGTTCTGTGCATCTTCCTCAAGCCGAATAATGCCCTCGCTGGCTGAGCGCATCTCCGCCTGGAGTGCCCGAAGGTTTTCGTCCTGAACACGCACTTCTTCGCTCAATCGCTGACACTCTTCTACCTTCTGCTCCAGAGCTTCACTCATGGCGTCTAGCTCCTCCTGAGCTTCTGCGCGGATATTTTGAAATGCTTCGTCGCGCTCTTCGGCTATCTGTAACGACTGGTCGCGCTCCTGTCGGAGATTTTGTACCATTTGTTGAAGGTTCGATATCTCTTCTTCTGCCTCATCGACGTCGGCCTGATATGCCTTGTCCAGCGAGTCATAGTCCTGGTTGGCTTCGTCCAGCTGCTCCCGGATGGATTGGTTTTCGAGCTTCAAAGCCGACACCTGGTCGCGCAGCTGGCCTACGCGCGTTTCAAGGTCTTCGCGTTCAGCATCGTCGCTCGGGGATTGACCCGTGCCATCGCTGGCGCGCGAAGAGGGTCGACCATGTGCCCGGGATGCCGAGCGATCGAATATGCTGTCGCCGGCAACCGATCGAGTCCCATCCCGGCGTTGACCAAGTTTGAGCTCTTCAATCTCCTGGTATAACCGCTCCTTCTCCCGGTTCCGGGACGTGAGCATCGAGGTCTGAGCGCTCACCTCCTTCCTCAACTCCGCGTTCTCTTGCTTCAGCAGTTCCAACTCCATCACCAGCGTCGAGCTGGATGAGCTAGCAGTATGGGGGTCGCGGCTGAAATCTCGTTCGGACGCGGCAGAGTACGAAGCCATCGAGCCAATTCTGTCGCGTTGCCCAACTCGCGCGGCGACGACGGGGAAGTTCATCTCATTCTTCAAACGCAGGGCCTCCTCGCGCAGCCGCTTATTTTCCTCTTCTGCCTGCTCGCGAGCCGCCGTCTCGGCCTCCAACATGTCTTTCCACATATCCTGCGGCAACAAACAATCAGCGTCGAGAATGCACAAGGGGCTAATCCAGTACTCACCCTCTCCTCCCGGGCCCCAACATCCGATCCCATGGGTCGCCCGTCACTAAGGGATTTTACCATCTCCGCCAGTCGTCTCTTCTCACTTTCGCGGGCAATACTTTCCGAACGGAGTCGCTCGATTTCCAGTTCATACGTTTCTGCCCGCTCGCGCAGGAAAAGAATCTCCTCATCCTGCGCGGGATCACGATCTTCCTCGTCCGAACCTTCGGGGTCATGGTTCAGCATCGACTCCTTGTCGGACTGCTGGTCTTTCAGCTGTTTTTCGAGATCGCGCAACTTGCGCTTCAAGCTTTGATTATCCTTCTGCAGCTTCAGCTTGTCCGATTTCAATTCAACATTCTCCGAGATCATCTCCTTGATGCCCTCCTCAGAGCGTCGATTCAGTGCTTCATTGAGGAAGTGAATCCGCATCTTGAGGTCAAAGTTCTCCTTGGAAAGACGGTCAATGGTGCTACTCTGCTCTTTGAGCGTCATGGTGCGGCCGCTCCGGGCAAAGGCAGGCGTGGCGCTCGTCCGCTTTTCAGGCGACAATCCACGGCTACCATAATCCTCCCGGAACTGCTTCACAAATGCGCTGGGCACCTGAACATCTTTGACACGTTCCGCAAGGACCGTGTCCGTAGGAAATCCGGTGTCTTGGGGTTTCGCCCGTGGTGTCATTGGTCCAGAAGCATCATCGGTATGAGACTCCTGTTGAGGGCGCTGCTCTGATTGTTGCTGCTGCTGCTGCTGCTGCTGCTGCTGCTGTTGCTGCTGTTGCTGATACCTTTGGTAAGATGACCCCGGACGTGACTGGGATGGACCTTCTTCTTCATCCAAGGTCTGTAGGCCTCCTTCTGTGGTTCCGCTAGGATTTTTCCGATCGAAAATGTTCTCATCACTGTATCCTGAGATGCCTGATGCCATGCTTCCCAAGCTGACCGACCGGGCCAATGTGTTGCGCTGTTGGGCATGCGCTAGACCCGGCGCTGCACCGCCTGACTGAAGTGCGTAGTCGGCGCCCAGCGTCGCATCACTGTTTGTGATTTCTGTACCCGCGCTCGTGACTGAGGAATATGAAAGCCGATGGGCGGAGCTACGACTAGTCAGATATTTCGGTCGGTTGCTTCGACGACTGCTCGTATGGGAGGCTGTATCGGCGTCATTCCCACTGTTGTCCTGAAACAGCCTCGATGTCCCGGGGGACACACTGCGCGATAGGTTGCGGATCTTGTGATGGCTGGATTGTAGCGAGATGTCTGCGTCCGGTACTGGGGAGCGATCAAATGCATCGTTGCGAGCAATCTGGCTGGTGTCGTGCGCATTGTCGGATGACGTAGAGTGGTTCCGGGTACTCGTCCTCGCTGCGGCGGCCGCTGAAGGAGATGAGGGTATCGCTTCCAGGATAGTGGTGTTGTCACCGTGTCGTTCGGAGGAAGCGGCAGGCGTTGCGTCCAAATCCTCCGCTGTGTTCTGTCTGTGCTCATGGGTGGGCGTCTGAGGTATGTGTGTGCTACCCGCGGCTGCTGCGAAGTCATGTATAGAATCATCGGGTGGCACGAAAGAAATTTGCGTGTTTTCCAGCACTTCAGGGGCAGGCTCCTCCTCGTGTATTCCAACCAAGTAAGTATCATCCGCACCAATAGTCCGGTTCGTAGCTGCGACTTCGATAGTCGAAGGTTCAGGCAGAAAGCTGGACTCCATATCCATCAACTGCCGTCGCATTTCCTTTTCTTTGATAAAAGTCTGGTCGTCGACTCGCTCCTGGTAATCATCGTCGGCGGACAATAAAAGGCTGCTATCGTCGTTGTCGGGCAAAGGGGGGAGGGACAGGTTCGAGTCGTCATGGGCGGGGTCTTCCACCGTCGATGGGTCAACTGCGGGATCATGCTGTTGGGCATCACTGAGGGCGCCCGGTTCCTCATGAGCGTAGTGGTCGTCGACAGCACCGTTCCGGGCGGGAGTGTCCATTGTGGTCGGGGAAAGACCTCCCCGCGCGTTCTCCGCCACCATCAAAGGGATTGGATCGCGGAATACGTCTTCGAGAGCCGGAAGTCCTCTTTCTTCGTGTAAAGAATTGGGGGGTGGAGAGGATATCGGGGAGCGCACCGGATGCGCGTGTTCGGCGACGTTTGGGGGCTCAGGCGACGGAGAGGAAGGCGGTTGAGGTGATGCGGTCGACATGGTGACGGGGAGAGGGTTTGTTGTCCCCACCTCCACCATGTAATGCTCGACAATCCTAGCCCCTAGGAGACTAGGAGACTAGTAAGAGCTTAGGGAACAACGGGCGCTGAATCGCGGCGGTTGTCTAGACTGGATAGACTCTAGACTCGGGCTCTTGTGCTACCCACTTGGGCGGGCAGCCGGGTTAGCGCCAATGCCAGGCCCGCCAGCTCACCACCACCTCGAGCAAAACGTGGCTGCGGTGAGATTTGGGGAGGGGGGGGAATAGAGGTTATGGTGCGTGAAGAGAAAGGGTGGGGGGCGAGAGATGAGGTTGTGGATGGAAAAACATGAAGATCGAAGGGAGAGTGAGGTTGTGGTGCAGCTGCAACCTTGCTGTTGTTATGGTTGTTGTTGTTGTGCCTTCGCCCAATCAGCACGTGCCCGGTTGGTCCCGTACACCAAGAAGTCACTAACTCAGTATAAGACTCTATTACGTCTTCCATAGATCTAACACTTCATTCACTTTGGGATCAATAAATAGATGTGGATTGTCTTGTACTGCTAAATGTCAGGGTCGGACCCTAGAAGGTTTCACTGAAACTTCTTACTTCATGGCAACCAGTCTCGTAAGTCTCGTCAAAACCGGATCAAAAGGAGAAATCAAAAGACAGTAAGTACACGACGATCGGGGTCACAGAGAGAGTCGCACAGACAAGAGATAAAACAAGTAGAAGGGAACCCAGAGGGGTGCATAATTCGTGCACTCTAGAATTGGAGACTTTTCTTTTATTCCAACGAAAAGACAAAGAAGTGAATGGGGAAGTGATTAAAGCTGGGTTGGGTATACAAAGCAAATCAAAGAAATCTAAGCTCCCTGGGGCTCCTCGCCCTCAACCCCCGAGAGCCAGCTCGATAGTATGACGTCGGGCAGGATTCGTGCACCTCTCTAAGCAGGTTACTCGACAGGGGTGCTCTCTTCCCGGTTGGTATAGATTCGTTTCTTCTGCTCCAAGGCCGAGGAGAGCGAGTCAATGTAGGTCCGGAACTTCACAATCTCCCGCAGCAGATACGACGACTTGCGCTCCCAGTTGGCCAACGCCTTGGCCGCATTGGGGTGCCGCGGCGAGAAGGCAAGGATCATGGCGGGTCGAAGCTCATTATGTCGTTGCAGTTCCTCCTCCACATTCTTAACATACGTCTGCAGGGCCTTCAACTGTTCATCTTCTGGAAGAGCTGACGCCATCATGCTCTGTTGCGGAGGGGCCCAATCGCTAATGTGCACCCGATCTGCCGGCAGTCGAGGCCGGACCCCCTGCTGATCAATAGAGCTGCGGATCGAGCTCTGGATGCTCGGTCGCGCCCCTGACGAGGAAGGAGGAGTCCGGCTGCTCTCTGCCGAGATCAAGGCGCTGTTAATGACTGCATCGCTCCAGCCATACTCCATGTTACTGATGCCACCGATCAAAGGCTCCTTGGATAGTCGCGCGCTCCAATAATTGGCGCTGGACACGAATTCCCGAACGATTTCTGGCGTGCCGGCTTGGAACAGATGTACGGCGCCCGTGGGCAGGCTCAGGGCCCAGACATGCGGACGAGACTTGGAATACCCCGGAGGTGGCAGCGCGCTGGCAATGGTTTGACGCAAAAGAAACTTCCAGATTTCTTCCGCATTTTCCGTCCAGTTGCCTCCTCCCACCACGACGCCGCCAGGATGCCGTTGCTTGGCCTTCTGCCGTACTGATTTCATGGACGCGTTGAAGGAGAACAGGCGCATCCAACCTTGCTGGATGACGGCAAAGCATTCATTCCAGTTGCGGTCTTTAGCCCTCTTATCCACCGAATCCAAGTGATGCTTGTGCTTGAGGCTTCCTTCCTTAGCCCAGGGGGCGCCCGCAAGCTGTAGAGTCTCATCTTCCAGAAGGGGCGTGTTCCGCTCGGCGTCTTCGAAGCTGGCTATCGAATGTGCCGAATCTTCACGGATAATGGCTTGACTCAAGGCATTGGCAAAGCCGATCGATTGTTGATAATCCCCACGTGGGTAATCTGAATTGAAAGAATCCACCGACGCAGAGGTCAACTTCCCCGAAGAGTACTTGCTCCACGTACTGGATGCCGACGGACTCCAGAGGGAAGACTGGTCATCCAAGCTAGTCCGGCTAGAGCCCATCGTAGAAGGTGGATACAGTCTGGCTCGAGACCTGGGCTTGGAAGACCAGCGTGCCGTTCCATAACGGGAATCGGCAGAGCGGCCGCGTGGATAGATATCTGAGCCACTTTTGCTTACTGTACTCGGGCTCCTGCGGAGTCCACCTGGGTGAGGGCCCAGTAGGTTGTTTGAGGACGAGCGCGTCGGCTCCTTTTCCCCTTGGGCACCATGCAACGGGAGCTTCTGCTTCTGAATCGACGTGTAAAAGTCTCGCAGCACCATTTCCACTTGTTGCTCCCACGCTCTCATTGTGCCGGTGAACGGAGTGTTAACGAGAGGACCGGTGTCGTTGTCAGGATCGCTTATCATCTTGGCCGAGAGATCCGTCCGTGAGAGTCGATTTACCAACTTTGTAGGGCCATTGGTTGGCTTGTCAGCACTTGGAGTTTTCCGTTCAAGGTCGTCAGTGGTAGCAGATCTGGAGTTCGAGGCGAGGGATGGTGGGTCTTGTGATTGGGCTTTTGACTTGTTCGCATCGCGCTGGTCAAAGAAGCCATCCGGTGCAGCATCTGCCGCCACTCGATGAATTGTCGGCATAGTGTTTCGGACAAACTGGGCCTTCGTCATCTTCTGCTCGATATCGGCAAGGTGCAAGTCGGTGTTCAGCAGGAGAAGCGAGTAACAAATGGTGTGCACGACATCTGTACAGCAGTTAGATCGAGAGATATCAAGCAGTGAGACAGAGTCAAAGGCGTGGACAAACCAGAAGCTTTGAAGCTGTGGCGTGGGTTGCACTCGCACCACCGCGTGGAAAAGGCATCCAAGACTCGGTCCACTTGTTGCGTTTCTCCTTTCAACACCAGTCGGTTACACAGACTTCGAAGGGCTGCCAGGATGTTCAGATTGGCCCAGTCAAAGAGATCCATGTACGCCTTGCGGACGAAGGCTCGGTCCGGATCGCCCAGCCAAGCCGCAGCCGGCTCATTCCCTACGACTTGATCCTGGCTATCAAAGAGCATCTGCGCCTGTTCTTTGTCCGAACTAGTTGGCTCACTAGCTGGAATATCATCCGGGCTAGCCTCCGCAAGATCGGCAAGTTTTGGCTCCGTCGGGCCCATGGCGGCACTCTCAGATGCCGTGTAGTAGTTCGACATTTCCGAAATGGAGGCCCGCGGCGAACCGCCCGGACCATTAGCCGGGGTAGAAATTCGGCTCGTGCCATCAACAATCTCATCTTTGCGTACGTCAGAGACAGGAATTTCCTTGGTTTCTTCAGGAGCATCATCAGAACTGTGAGTGGGGCTAGCGCTCATTTGAGAGAAGCTCTCCATGACGGGCGAAAGCGAGGAAACAGCAGTCTCCTGTGGCTTCAAACCTCCTGGTAAAGCAAAGACCTGGTCTTTATCCACGGAGTCCATATCACTGCCGCGCGAGCTCACGCCATCCCGCGATGCCCTTGAACCTGGTTGGCGGTCAACAGGAGCGACGGGATCCTGACCATTAGACTTCGATCCGGACTCTTCATCTCCACTACTATTTCCTAAAAATGTAGCCTCATTGTTATTTGCGGACGAAACTGCGGGATATAAACTGTATTTGGCCTTAGGGGGACCGGAGGTTGTAAGGAGGCTGCCTCGCGGATTGTGCGTTGACGTGGTTCCTGGATTCTTGGCTTCCGCATCATCTGTCGCCGCCCGGGACTGCGAGGGCTTATTGGCCTGGTCCGGCACGGATGCATTCGAATCCATAATATACGGGTTCATCACCTTTTTCAGGCTACTGACCGGACTCGGCTCCGGCTTCATGATTTCCATTGCCCTGGAGCCCGACAGCTCCGGAGGAAGCACGATCGGAGGCGGGGCACTTTCAGCCACGGACTTCTTCCGCCGGCGGAAGAAGGACGACTTTTTGGTCACCACCTGATGGTTTCCATCGCGGCCCGAATTGAGCCCTGTCCCACTGTGCTTCAGCGGCTGTCTCCAGCTCTTAATATCTTTGGTGTCGGTCTCTTGGGCGGAATGGGAATCAGATTGACTGTAATCGGACGGTCCGAAAGTGGGAGCTTTGGAGCCAAAGACACGTCGAAAGAAACCTGGTCGTTCCTTGGCCGGCGCTGGTTCAGGCGGCGGGGGAAAGATTGGTTTGTTGAAGGAGATTGTTGGGCTGGGCGCAGGCGGGTCGAGTGAGGAGGGAATTGTAGGCGGAAGCTCTAAGCCTGCATCGCCCAGATTCGCCAGGTCGAGATCTCGGCTCCGGATAGTGGCCGTGCCAATGTTCTCCGGGCGAGACTTCCGGTTGGAATTTGCACGAGGAGACTTGATACTGTTCCGTCGCGAGGCCACCGGCGTCCGTGACTGCTGCAGGCTGAGCGAACCTGCATAGTCCCCTTGCGAAGATGGGTGGTATTTACTGGGGCCTCCAGGAATACTTGGCGTAGGGGCTGCGTCAAAATCGCTAAAGGACCAGGAACCGTAGTCGGCAACCGGTTCGGAAAAGGGAATGAAAGGCGGCCGAGTACCAAAGTCGAAGCTCGCCGAGCGTCTCTCGCCGGTTGAATCCGCTCGACGACGTAGCAGAGGCGGACCGAAGTCTACCTGGGAGGAAGCACTTCCTTTGCTCCCATTTCTCGCAGTATGAGCCCCTGCTGCCGCAGTAGAACTCGGCCGATAGTCATAGAGCTGGCCGCGTGAGCCGGTGCCTTCCCGACTGCGTGTGCTTCCAAATCTCCTCAGGCTGGAATGATAGTTAGAGCTGCTGTTACTCCGACGACCTCGCGGGAGTTGGGACGCATGGCGGGCCGTGCCGTCCTCAAATGTGCCGTCTACTTCTGACGATAGGGAGGACGAAAAGGTATGTCCACGATACCGTCGTTGGGCTAACGAGTCCGGTGAGCCGTGGCCGTAGAGGTCCGTTTCGAAAACCGAATTGAATAGCCGGTAGTCATCCAGCACAGAGGAACCCGCCACGAACTGGTCTAGGGAGAGGAGCATGTTATCGACGATGGAGGTACGGGCCGCATGCTTCGGAGACAGCGATAGGTCGTGAGGATCTCGCTCGTCACAGGACTCATTGCTCTCGTTGGTGTTGTCGGCTGCATTGAAGTCATCTAGAAAGGTCTCCCGGACAGAGGGTCGCGGATGATTCCCTCTCCTTGTAGGCTTTCCGTTGACGGCTTCGGAGGGAGGTGTTCGAGGGGGAGAACGGCCGGCGTGCTGCTGAGGCATGGTTGAGATTGCTCAGCTGTCTGTTTTATGAACGATGATCGAGTACGTCTGGCATCCGTCGTAGTGAACGGAATGAGTGGGGAGAAGGGGGGAGCCTTAGGGATATTGGTCGCCAAGTCCCTGGGCACCGTTGGCCATGGACGATCTCAACCAGCAGGTAGTTTGAGGCGATTGCCCACTTGCCGTGCACACCGTCCTCAGTCAATCGAGGGAGGGGGTTTTTTGGACCGGTTGACAGAATCGCGTGCTCAGGACCGGATCTGGGTCTCACAGAAGTCGAACAGACCGTCTTCAAGGCGCAGTCAAGGGTGGTGTGTATCACCTGTCGCACATTGCGTGAGGGGGAGGGGGGGGGGGGTGTGAAAGGGAAATTTCGTAGTGTAAGGGGGCAGTCGATTGATCAAACCGACGTCCTTATGGGAGGATTGCTGCAACCTTTTTTAGGTAAGGCAGATTAGCCAGAGATTCAATGAGATAGGTAGAAGGCGATCTAGGAAAGTTGGAGGCGAACCACAGGTAGCAAGACGCACAGGAAAGGAACCGTCCAGTGTGAAGCGGGAACCGACCGGTGACGATCGTGGGTCGCCACGATGAGAGAAGGAGGGAGTGCAAAGAGTGTGTAAATGAGAGAAAAGGTGAAAAAGGAGGATAGCGATTGAAACGCTTCAGGAATTTTGGCGCAATTGAAGAGGGACAAAAATTGGAAATGAATTGAATTGAATGCCTGAGCAGCCCCGGACTTGCAGATGAAATGCGCCCAGGAACGGCGGCCGAAGTGGGATCACCGGAGAAGGAGGTGCAGCACCAGCACCAACAGCACACAAAGTAGTCTAGTACTACTCCGTTAGCAGCAAAAAAGCATGGACAGAAAGCAGACGTTTAGTCGTTGGCGTGGTTCAGGGATGGACCATCTGCCATCGTCCACCTTCCGAACTAGTTCCAGTAGCGTTCACTAGTTGCGGGTCTAGAGTCCGTCGCGATAGTCAAGAGTCAGTTCTCAGGGGCATGCATCCAAGTTCCTGCAGGTTCAATCTTCCAGCTTGCGAGTTCGGTCTCCCTTTTTCTCCCCCTAACCCACATCAAACTATCTACGTCTTTATTCTTTCCGTTCAATATGTGGATGCTGACAGGTTTGGATCAGAACTACTGTACTATTAGTTATCAGAGGACGATCCGGGAGAGTTGTCTTGCAGCTTGCATGGTTCCATTGGGGAGGGTCCTGCTATTATTCCCAGTCCCAGTCAATTGACTGCCATCAAGTGGAGCCAGTTACTCCGTACTTCCTCAGTTCCTACTGGATCGAGTGGAAACGGGCCGTCATGCACCCCCCCGATCGATAATATCTATCATTTCATGGGAAACTGATTCCCTGTCCGGTCCATGCTCCAGTCTTCCGTGACCCATCGCAAAGCTCCATCGCACCCAAGGTAGGGCAGCGACCGAATTTGTCAGTATGCTGGAGATGGATCAAGTTGGATCAAGGATGGCTTCTGCGATCAGGCCAGCTTGGGGGCTTCTGCATCAATTTTCACCACGCATCTTTTTTCTTCCCTCGTTGCCGGAGATTTACTCATACTGCTGACTGCATCTACAGTCTCCATATCCAGTCACATACATACAGGATGGTGGTCATGCCCACCTTCCGGGTTTCGGAGCTGGGGCATTCTGTCGCCCGAATGTCAGTCAAATGTAAGCCATGCATGAGAAAAATAGAATAAAATAAAATAAAATGAATAAATTAAGGAGCAGCTCCTGTCCTCAACAGGCAATCCTCGCAATGTGATACATCGCCGTTTCCTGGCGGTTCTAGTGCCGCCAGGCACTTGATACACCGGCGTTCAGGGACGATCATCTACGGGGATGGCATGGCTCTCATGTTTCATCAGCCAGCCAGCCAGCAGATAGACTAGACTAGATGTTTCCCAGATAGTATTTCCACCCTCCGGCAGTCCAAAGTGTTAACTTAATTCTTGGTGTCTCTGATGATTCTGCCGCCATCCACCGATCGGACTTCCGGGATAGAGTTGATCCGGGAGTTGGGCCGAAGAGGCTGATGACATAACCCAACGGCCACTCCATCATCATCAACAAGCAAAGCAATCAATAACTCCATTCGCTAATAGATCCGTAATTGTCACCCCCATCCAACACCACCTCAATCAATCAAAACCCCCCTGGGTCCGTTAGAGGTAGTGGGTACATGACATCCGTGCCTCTCCCTCCCATGTCCGAAGACCTGGGGTTCCCCTTATCAACTCATTGAAGATGAATCCTCACATCTCCGTCCCCCGCCAACATGCCAGCCCGGCCAGCTTCGGCGGCACCACCCCAGCAAGCCGCGGGTCTAGTATCCGCATGCCGCGATTCTTCAAGAGGTAGGCTACTTCCACCCCCTTCTGGGACTTTTGGGGTCATTGGAGGGCATGATACGTCTATAAAACGGACATCCATGGCCTTTTCTGATCCTCATCGACCGGCTACTGATGCCCCTGGCTGGCTTACAGGTTGTTCAAGTTCCCGCAAATGGACTTTGAGATGGCGATCTGGGAAATGACATCTTTGTTGATTGCGCCAAAGAAGGTCTTCAAGTCAATCTATTACCATGTGAGTTGATGACGGCCTCCTGCTCCATAGTGCGCATCTGGTTATGCTGACCCAAGCTTCACCGCAGAAACGTATGTCATCGCCTGAGACCGCACCTTGCCGTTCTGGCCCGCTTTTCTGGAATCCTACACACACCCGTCGATTCCTATACTGATGGCCTCGTACAGAAACGAAAAACACCTGGCACCGTCCGGATCCCTCGTTCACCTACCTCCTCTCTTTCTTCCTCCTGCTCACTGCCCTCGCCTGGGGCCTCGCGTATGCGCCCTCCTTCGGCGCCATTGTCCGGCTCTCGCTGCTCTTTATCTTCGTTCACTTCATTGGCTCGTCCTTGCTGGTCTCGACAGTCGGGTACTTTACGATCCCACGGTTATTCGGGCCCGATGGCGCAGCCGCATCGCTGACGGGATTCCGCGGCGGTCGTGGACGGAGACGCGGCGCGGCGCAAGGCCTGTTCACGCAGCCGGGCGAGAAGGACCAGCTTGAGTTCGGATACTGCTTTGATGTAAGTGACACACTTTCACAGCATACTGGGACATAGCAGCACCGGCTAATCGCAGACATCAGGTATCGAATCGGGCATTCTTCCCTCTGTATCTACATCTCTACGTGGTCCAGTTCCTGCTCCTCCCGCTGCTCCAGCGCAGCCCGAGCAACTTCCTGGCCACTTTCCTCGGAAACACCCTTTACTTGTCGGCCATAACTTACTACACCTACATCACATTTCTCGGATACAATGCGCTTCCGTTCCTCCACAACACGGAGCTTCTGCTGCTCCCCATCCTGGCGTTTGCAGTGCTGTGGCTGGTGAGCCTGATTGCGGGATGGGGGATAGTGGCGCAAGGCCGGGGAGTGGAAGGACTGTTCTGGGGCGCATGATTGTCACCGCACATGTCATGCTACACACATCTTCTACACGTTCTTGTGCAAGTAGTTTGTCGTTTCCGTTTCGGCGCCGGTGTATATGGTGATCTTTGGTCTATTTTATGTCTGTTCTGTCCGTTCAGGAAATGGGTTCGGGAGCATAATGATTGCATAGGTTTGTTCTGGTGGTCTCTGTTATACTTTGCCCATATGAGGGCAGGCAAAAGACATATGATTCATACTGTACAGCATAGCTGGGTTATATAGCGTCTATCATAGACTCATATCTGCTACTGTTTCTCCCACTATACCCTCTCCCCCTCGACTCACATCAGAAATACAAAATCCTCAGTGTAATATCATATACTTTAACCAATGGCACAGGCATCAAGCCACACCAACCGACCAAACAAACTCAGTAACCAAAATCTAAACCCAAACCGAGAATTGAACCCATCAATTATTTCCCCTTCTTTCCCTTCTTCCCACCTCCCTTCGCCCCCAACTTCGCCTTCAACTCCTCCGCCCTCCGTTTCGCCGCCTCAGCCTTCTCCTCCTTCTCGACCTCCTTCCTCAACCGCTCCGCCTCCCTCTTCTCCCTAACTAGTGCCAACCGCGCCAAATCCGCCCTCGCCTCCTCCGTCTTCCCCTCCGCATGCAGCTTCAAGTACCGTTCCCTCGCCTGCTGCGCCTCAATAGCCTCCCTCTCTCGTCGCGAGAGCTGCGACAGATCCTGTTGATCCTTGCCTTTTCCTTCACCACCACCACTAGCACCCCCACCAGTCGCGTTACTACTCAACTGAGACCGAGATTTACTCGTATGGTTCGGGTTCGCCGGTAGATCCTCATCGTCGCCATCCGATCCTTCAGAGTGGTCCTCGTCATCTGACGAGGATGGGGGTAAATCGCCCGGTTGCGCGGCGGTCTGGAGTCGACGGGCCTGCGCAGCTTGCTTTTTAGCCTTTGCTGCTGCGCGGCGCTCTTCACGGGTGAGTTCGGGGGCTGCTGCTGTTGCTGCGGAATCTGTGGGTGGGATAGAGGAGGAGGGGCCGGGCTTGGTGGAGGATGGGGTGTCGTCTTCGGAGGAGTCTGAGTCCGAGCCGGATGTGCTGCCGTCTTCTTCATCTTCGTCTATCGAGGAGGGGACGTCCTCATCTGCGTCCTGTGTTTGGTTTTTTTGTGGTTAGGAGTGTTTCTTTGCAAGAGGTTGGGGGGGAGGATAGGTATGGGATGAATGCGTACCCGCCACAAGCCCACAGGGTTACCGTCTTTATCGACGGGTTGGACATCTCGACTGAAGCGCTTTCCACCTATACGTATGGTTAGTTTATTCTAAAGAGCTGGTGGGTGTGTTGGCCCTGAGGGACAAAAAAACGTACCTCCGCGAGAGGGCTTGGAGAACTTTCCGCGACCGCGGGGAGCCATGATGTATGGGTTGTGGAATAAGTTGTGGGATAAGGCGAGTCGTTAAATTTGAATGAAGCAGAGGTATCAAGGCTAGGTAGGCTTGCTTCCTCCCTGTTGCCAAAGAAGATCTTGAGTCAGCGGGGAGAAGGTTGAGGGTTGAGTGAGTGAGTGAGAGAAGGAATAGAGGGATGGCGGAGTCAAACAAAAGCATTCATTCGGAGGGGCTGCGGCGGGGAAGCACCGTCAGATCGACGGGCACTTACAATCCACTGTAGAGGCTGCGCAAATCCTAACTTTGCAGTCCAGTCAGAGACTAACAGTGGACTGAGATATGATAGAGCTGTTGAATTTGGCTGCGACTAAAAATTTCCTTCCCATTGAGGAAGCTACATTCTCGATACTAAATAGTATACCAAAAACAGCTTTGAGTCACGCCGCCAGTTGCCCAGACCAGGCGGAGAGCCTGACTAAGGCGCGCTCGTTCATTGGTGTGATCATCATGCCATCTCAGAAGTATTTTCTTGGTTACTCCTTTATCTACTGCTTTACTGTGATTTCTACTGTATGTACAGTTGGCTCATCTTCCCCTTCTCCCCATTCAGCAGTCATCCTGCCTATGCTCGTTGCCAGGTCAGCCCCAGCTTCGTCACTCTCGCGGCAATTAAGGTCAGCGTCCCCGCCAGAATGGCACTGCCCATGAACATCTGCGCATACAGATATTGTCCATCATCCCGATCGACCAGTGCCCCGGCGATCGGGGTGCCGATCAGCGCAGCCACAGCCACTACACTGAGCACCATGCCCATTCTCACTCCTGTCTTCTTTAAATCCGTGGTGAGCGTGCTCAGGGTGGCCGGGAAGAGCGACTGGATTCCCGCTGCCGCCAGCCCATAGAACGCACTGAAGGCATACATCTCGTCGTAAGTGTGAACCGCAGCCCAGCAGAATGCCACCACTCCCGTCACCAGACTGAAGGGGATCAACATGTTCAAGGGTCCCGTATACCGGTCGGCCATCAGGTTGGGGATCAACCGGCCCAGCAGACCAATGCCGTTCATGACTAGAAGTACGTCGATCGACGTCGAGTTGGATACCCCAATGATGTTGCGGGCGAAGCTCCCAATGTAGAAGAACCCTACATAGAGACCCCAGAAGTTGAGGAACATCCCCAGGGCGAACAACGCATAGGGCGCCTCCTTGAACGCCCCCCATTCGACGAGCGGTCCGCTGCGACGCGGAGGCAGTCGTTGCTGGAGAAACACCAAGCATGGAATCAGCGTCGCCAATGAGATGAACCCCAGGGTCCGCATGGTCCAGCCATACCCGATCCGAGGTAGGAGTCGCATGACGACCGCTGGGAAGACCAGGCCGCCAGTGGCAGAGCCCGAGGCCACGATTCCGATCGCAATCGCTCGGTTTTTGGTAAAGTAGGTCGGCATCAGCGCAATGGTCGGGCAGAACATCAGTCCACAACCGATGCCCTGACCAACGCCCTGAGCCAGGAACAGCTGCCAGTACTGCGTGCACAGGGAGGTCATAAAGATGCAAAACAACTCCAGGACAGCCCCCACGGTCAAAATGGCTTTGAAATACCCGGCGTCGGTTGCGCGTCCAGAGAAGGTGCCGACAAAGAAGAGTAAGAAGATCTGGATACTGCCTACCCAGGAGATATCGGACGGGGTGCGACCTAGCGTCTCGGTATAGTAGGTTTGGAACACACCAAAACTATTGATGTAGCCCCAGGTGTTGAAGATGACGAAATGAGCCAAGGCTACTTGAGACCATGCCTTGAAGCCACCATCGGGGGGAGGTCCCAGGTCCCTTCCAGACTCCCTGGTGCGGACTAGGGTCAAGGTTCTACTGGCCAGTGCGCCAACATGGCTAACATTGGTCGGGGTTTTCGACAACTGCTTCTGTGCTTCGGGGCCGAGGGCTACTTCTTCATCGCCCTTCTCATTCCCTAGCGGAAGGAATCGGTCAGGGACGGGAGCGTTGGCAGCCTGGCTGGATCCACCTTTCTCATCATCTGTGGAGATGGCCAAGTCCTGTTGGGTGTCATGCGATGATCTAGCGGCCATTTTGTGGGAAAGTATATCCCGAAGGGATATCACAGATTTTCGAAAGGGTTCTGTTTGAAGTCTCGTGTATTTCAAACGGTTATTCTGATGCTTCCGAGTAAGTGGAAGCAGGTAGACACCAGTGGGGAGATGAGCCAGCCAGTCTGCTAGGTACTCAGCTTCTTTTTCTTACTTGGCTTATGCAAGACCAAATGGGATGGCAAGGACACTCTGGATTGTGGAGGCAATCAATCGAAGTGATGGCGCGCACGTAACTGATCAACGCGAAGTGGGATTGGGATCTGGAACAGAAGGGGGACAAAGAAAGAAACGGTCAAGGATCAGGCACTATGAGGTATGCATCGATGCCCCAGCTGTCGACTTGACAGAGATCAAGCGAGTTGATATGTGCGTATGACTCAAGGAGCGTCCAGCAGACGGCATCGGCGGCAATTGGTTGTAGCAGTGTTGGAAGCGTCTTTCTGCCAAGGACTTTTTGAGGATCAACCTTGTAAAAATTTAGATAGATAAAGGAACGACGGATACGCCGCGTGAGTCAGGAAGCGAAGTAAGACTAGAAAATCAGCTAGGGCTTGGACGGCTCGCAAAGAAGGCCGAAAGCCAAACCGCCATCATGGCGGGGAGGAAGGTCGGCAATGTCGTGCCGAATCGGCTAAAGAACGAGGACGATCAGGTTGGGATCCAACAGCAAGCGACAGTCGGAATACCTTGTCGATAGTTAGGCCGGGTTACTTCGACGCCCTATTGTCATGGTGCACCACGGTCCCAAAACCCGGGGCTCCAGGATCCTTGCTGGGATTGGGGAAATTGGCAGGTGGAACCCCTCCCCGCCATTCGAGCTATTTAGCTGGTTGGGGGGAGGGGAATACCATTGCCGATGTGATGGGTCATCCCTGGATAGATGAACAAGTGAGGAGGCGTTGTCAAAAGATAGAGAAGAAGAGAGAGAGGGAGAGGAAGAAGAAGAAGAAGAAGAAGAAGAGAAAGCAATAGGAGAGATACTGCCGATACAGTCCGGCTTCTTGGTAACTCTATACTAGTACTACTTACCGTGCTCGATTGTATGTTTCACATAATTCTCCGGGAAAAGGAGTTAAGGCACGTGCAGCGGACTTCTCCCCATCCTTCTTCTCTTCCTACTTTAACAACGTGATTCAACTACTATATACTACCAAATAATTGAAGGAGGGAAGGTGAAAAAAAAAAAAAAAAAAAAAAAAAAAAAAAAAAAAAAAAGGAAGGAAGGAAGGAGGAGGGGGCCCAAAACAATAACCAATCAAATATGTGAGCGCCAATTTAAAAGTGAATTGACCACTATTGACCACTTGAGGGTCCATCCGCACTCATAGCGCATGGAGAAAATAAGCCCTTCCAGCCGGAGCTGATGGATGTGATGATTTAACATGAAAGCGAGTGGTAAGTGTTTGCAAGGTATTAGTTGGTAAGTAGGGACGAGGGAAAGGAAAAGAAGGAGATAAGACGACTAGTAGTAGTAGTAGTAGTAGTAGTAGTAGTAGTAGTAGTAGTAGTAGTATCCTGTTGCGGCACTGACGACCATCATTGTTCTCAGAGGCAACGCGAAAAGACTGCTACTGACTTAGTAATTTGCCTTGTTACGAGTTGTGAGCAGGAGCGAATTTGTCGAATCGTGCCCTTCAGCGGAGCTCTATATTATTCTAACGCATCAAAACAGTGGAGGGCATCGGCCACTCGTGGCCGACCCATCTATATATAGTCAATTAGAAGCACCATAAACAGGGATCCATGCTGTCTGTCTCGAGCGTCAAGCAGTCATGCCCGAGTTTTTAAATATTCAAGATCAAAGGTTGGAAGGAAGGCAGGGGCTTGGTTGGAAAGAAGACAAAGTGAATAAGAAAAGAGGAAGAAAAGGTAGGAGAAAACCCCATGCTGGACTCTCGCTAATGGCTGAACGACCCCCCGAATCCAAATGCCGAATGCATAACCCGCTTCGTGACGCCCTCTAACAAATCGCCGCCACCACAGCATCTCCTCTACGCCTGGAAAAAAAAGAATAGCAGAAACATATATCAATAATCGCAGATCTTAAATGGAAATCAAAGGCGGTTACGCGGAGACCCTGTCCCCGCTTCAAGAAAGACCACCAGTGCAGTATTAACAGAACCCTCAATACTCCTGGGAGCATGAGCTATTGTTGAGCATCGAGATGGTTTCAATCACGTCGGCGGGTTCCAGGAGATGCCAGCTGGCGGCCGTTTGCTTCGAGCTCGCACCAACAGTGACCGAGTAGACGTGATCTTGCGGCAGGTCAAATTTCTGTAGGGCACGGAACATGTCTGTGTATAACAGAAAAGTCCTGTTAGCGAATGCAGGATGAGATAAGGAGGGGGAAGGGAGAGCGCATTTACCTTCATCTGTAAAGTCATCCCCGGAGCAAAAGATGAACTCAGGAGCCTGCCCAGGGCCAGTGCCGTACTCATTGACGAGGCGAGCCGCGATGAATCCCTTGTTAACGAACGTCGGCCGAACTTCCAAGTTGGCTTTCCCGGCCATGACTTCAACTTCCCATCTCTTCCCAACGGTGTCTTCAAGCTGCTTCCGGCATTCGCGGGCCTGGAACGCTCCATACTCCGGGTCCGCCCGGCGATAATGCCACGTCAGGGCCACGCGCTTTCTTTCGATGAAGGAGCCTTGTGTCCGTTCTGTGAAGTGCTGAAACGTATCCATGACCTCCTTCTGCCAGCCCATGTTACTCCGTTCGGCCAGATTCTCCCAGTCATCCGAGTGGGGCTTGCGAATGAAGCACCCGTGCTCTGCACTCAGTCCTAGCTCGGGAATGTGGCCCATCCACTCATCCAAGAAGGCTTGATCACGTCCACTGATGATCCAAACCGCATTCCGTGGGTCTGCGGCGAGGGACTTGATGGTACGCAGCACCCGATCCGAGGGAATCGCAGCTTGTGGGTCTTTGACAATCGGAGTAAGAGTACCATCGTAGTCAAACATGAATAGTCTCTTCCGAGCCCGACGATACTGCCGCACCAGCTTGGCCCGATCGAGGGCCGGTGTTGCCACCGACTGGTCGAACGACGAGAGGTTGGTGAGGAGACGAGTGACAAACTGCTTTGACCAGGACGAAACTGTGTTTGCAGTGACGTGCTTGTAGAGCTTCTGATGCTGCGACATCTTCTCTTCCGGAGACATGGTCAGGGCCTTGTTGATGGCTCCCGCCACACCGACGGTATCCCATGGGTTGATATGAATGGCATTGGACAAAGTCCCCGCTGTACCAGAGAACTCGGAGAGGATCAGGGGGCCATAATTATTCTGTTGGCAGATGATGTACTCCAGACTGGTCGTGTTCATGCCGTCCCGGACCGTGGTGATGAGTCCGACGTCAGCGACACGCAGCAGCGCAAAGTACTCATGAGGAGAGAGGTACTGCGGGTAGTACTTGACGGGAGCAAAGCTCAATGACCCGAACCGGCCGTTGATGGTAGAAACCAGATTAGAGACCTGACTGGCAATCTTGTTCTCTTCCTTCTGCTCGTCGACGCTGGTTGGGCTGGTCACCTGAATCAGGACTACTTTATCCCGCCATTCGGGGTACCGCTCGAGGAACACCTCGAATGACTGCAGCTTCTGGGCTACACCGCGGACACTGTCTAGTCGATCACGACCGACAATAATCTTCTTTCCGGCATAAAGTTTCCGAATACCCAAGACAGCCTTTTCTATCTCCGCAGACCCGAAGGCTGCCTTTTGGATCGTCTTGGTATCGATGCCTATCGGAAAGACGTCCACTGCTACATGAGCACCGTAGGCGTCCACACCGGCCGAGTTGGAATCAAACCCAAGGACACGCGTGCAGCAAGATGAGAAGTGTCGAGAGTACGAAAACGTCTGAAAGCCGATCATGTTGGCCCCCAGGACCCCCGTAAGCACCTCCTTGCGCTTGGCCAAGCAGCGCATGAACTCACTGCTGGGGAATGGCGCATGAAGGAAAAAGCCAATGTAGATGTTGGGGATGCGTTGACGCAGCATACTCGGCAACAGGAAAAGGTGGTAATCATGGATCCAGACAATATCTCCTTCCTTGTACTCTTGCGCAATGCGGTCGGCGAAAAGGCGATTCATGCGGACGTAGTCGGCCCACCACTTGCGTTCCGATTTGCCGTCCGTGGGCCCATGCTGTTTGTAGTGAAGGAGTGGGTAGAGCTCGCGCTCGGCGTAACGCCTCCACCGGCCCTGGTCGTCCAAGAAGACCGTGTCGTCTGGATGTTCCGATTCACCAGTCAACCAGACCGGCACGATTTTACCGTAACGGCTGGAGCTCAACTGCTTATCGAGCCTTTCTCGGTCCTCCAGGTCCACTTCGAAGCCATCCAGGAGAGGATGACTGGGTAGGCGTTGGTTGGCATCCACCGGCACCGGTGCGGCAGCTTTGTTGAGGGGCAAGGCCGAACCGTTGAGGGTGGTTGGCACTTTGGCACTCGTGTTGATGGGAATCTGCTGCAGAGGAATCGCTGTCTCCTGGACCGGTTCGACCTCGCCGGTCCAGCCAACGAGGGTATGAGACCATCTCGATTCGCCAGAACCAAGGTAGGCCATAGAGTCAAATAAAGCGGAGGTTCCCGGACGGGGTTTCAACTCCTACGGCCCCGTTCGATCAGCGAAATCCTCTTGTTGATTCCCACTCACATTACGAGTGATCTGGCGGGGGGGGGAAGGACTTACCCAGTCGGACCCGGGGTGGAGATAGAGCTTATAGGGGATGCAGAAAGCAGCACTGATGACTCGGCCGGTAAGACGCAGGCTGGGGTATTGTTCGCGAGGGTCGGCGTCCAGCATGATGGGGGATTCTATGAGACTCAAGCGGCGCAACAATTCGGGACCAGACTTGGCGTCCTTGACAGCCTGAGCGGGAGTGATGGGAGAAGCGACAGCTGGGGGGACCGAAGAAGTGTGGTTCCCCGGAATATCAGAAAAGTAGGAAGGGACATCGGGAAGGGTGGAGGGTTGGGACTGTTCGCCCCGCAGATCTGGGGTGGCATTTGAGGCATTCAAAAACGCATCTTCGCCCAGAACATTCAGGCCAGAGCCAATGGGGCCCGGATTGGGCTGGCCATCGGGCATGGCGGCAGACCGTTGTTCGGCGGCCATGACGAAAACGGACGCGGCGGAGCGAGGAATCACAGTAAGTCAATGACAGGCAGAACGGGAACCAATCTGCAGTCAATCTGATAGGTAGCGCGATTAGTTAGATTCACACCTGGAATTTTTGTGGAGAATCGGGTGACTTTTGGATTCCGGTGATAAAGAGAAAAGAAAATGGCAATGGAGAAGACTGTGTTGGTTTCGGGGGAGAAATAAAAGAAGGGGCAAGAAGCGTTGGAAGTATCTTTTTTAAGCTTCGGTTTGGGGGGGGAGGGGGCGAGGAAAATGTAGATTAGGGAGGGAGGGGGGGGTGGAAAGGGAGATAAGCTGGAGTACCTGGGTATGAATTGGTATGTATGGAGAAAGAGAGAGAGAGAGACAGACAGAGAGAGGGTGTTTGGGGTTGCCAACAGGGAAGAGAGCGGGCCAGAAGAGAAGGCGGACTAGGCCATTGGGGGGGGGGAAAGGAGGAACTAGTAAATGGCACTGAAAGATGGATGAACGATGGCACAATGATCAATTCCCTTCGTCAGAAAGAGAAAGAATGGGGGAACAAGAGTGTGACGATGGGAAGAAAGAGGGAGGAAGAAGTTGGTTTAGTGGGCAGAGATTCAATTATGATGTGAGAGAGAGAGAGAGAGAGAGAATGAGGCAAGTGGGGGGGGAGGGAAGAGGAAGAAGAGTGAGGGAGACACAGAAAGCAGGGCAGAGAGCAGCAGCAGCAGCAGCCACCATTACCACCACCACCAAGCAGGGAGGCGGTGAAGCGGGAAAGTGGAAAGATACTAAGATAAGAACAGTACTTACCTCCAAGACGAACGATAACTATAGTAGGTAGTCAATCGTGAGGATGAATGAGATGCAAGTGATCTATCACTGGATATGTATAGTCCGACTGATTAGGGAGACTGGGAATATCGGCGGGAAATTATCTCAGAGAACCCCCAAAAGTTCTAGTAGTTCTCTTTCCACAGACTTGCAACTTAACTGAACCCAACTTCCCCAAACAATCCCGGAATAGTAAGCCAATCACCCCCAATCGGACAATCAAGCAAGTTAATGCACGCAAAGCAACGCCAACTAAGTAGTAGTATCAGCTGGTCGGCGGTCTGTCGGCAGGGTTTGCTTATAAAACAGCCAATCCCTCATGCACGGGTTCAGATAGAAGGACGCCGAAGGGGAGAGAGAGGCAGCGAAGGGATCGGGGGGAGGAATGGGCCTAGGATGGTCCAGACTCGGCGGCGAGGGCTGATGGAAGGAAAAAGAAGGCGTATAGCGGGTGGGGATTATAGGGGGAAACGAAAGAGTTGATGATTACTTTAGTACTATTATTGAAACCGAACAAGGTCAGGGAAACCGGTTCCGTGTCCGTGGTGGGTTTGGTCTGCCATGGAGGGAGTCAGGAGTAAAATAATTGACGATGATGGTGATGATGATGATGTTTGGTAAGAATAGAATGTAATGGATTGGGACCCCCGCCATCTCCATAACAAGTGTTCCAGATACTACTAAGTAGTTAGTACTAGTATTTTGCTCGGATACGTCATGATCCTCCAATCTGCAGTTCGGACGAACAGGAGGAAAATGGCCCACCTGCTATTCCCCTCCCTCTACTATTTCGCACCTTTTAGGACTACTAGTATTCTTACAGAGCAATTTTTATTACTACTCCTTCTACTACTACTACCCATAGTATCTCATTTCAAACTTCTTTGGTAGTTGTCAAAGTAGCGCAGGTCAGGTTGACACGAGCAAGTACAGTAGTCAGTTGGCAGACTAGACAATAACCCGGGAAGTTGGGCCCAGGGAATAGCAACAGTGCCTAACCGAACCTAAATCTTCTAATCCTTCTTCAAAAGTGTCTAACCCATTAGGTAGCGAGTCTTGCATCGGCCGAAACCATGAGCAAAGCGCGCGAGAGTGTTCAGGCATGTGGGAGAAGATGCCGGATGAAACTTGCCCGATCCCTGACAACCCCATCGAGACTTGTCCATGTCATGGGATGCAGTTGGATCCACTAGGGATATTAGCTTTAGCAAAGGAAGAACTAACAGAAGCTAAGAAGCAAAAGTATCGGAAGGGAAAAAAGAAGAAGAAGAAGAAGGAAAAAGGGCAAAGGATGGATGAAGTCTACACAGTAAGATTCGATTTGCAGATTTGAGATCGCCATTTTCCCCGACAGGGGGTGTGACATGTGAAGACCTAACCAGTCGATCATGCTAGGGCTGGCCAGATCACGGCCAGTAGTCACGTGCATATGCAGCACCTGACAGTACTATCCTTAATAAGGTAACCAATCACTAACGAGTAGTTTCTGTTAGTCTATCCGACACTGCGACATTATCATTATCGCGAATTCCCTGCTTCGACTTCTTGCCTCGCTTCTCTCTCTCTCCTCTTCGACTCATCCCCAGCATCCCGTCCGAGATCACCCGCCCTCGTTATTCCCCATCCATTCCTATCGACTCGGTTTGTCCGGAACTTAGCGCCGTCCGGTCCCAAGTATACCCAGTATACTTCCCTTTCCTCCGGTTTATGCCCCCGGTTGCAACAATTTCTCCGCAATGCCTCCATTGCCCTGCTGAACGCGCGGTCATGCGCGTTCTTCGCCCCTCCAAACACCATTTCCTCTCTTCCTCTTCCTCGTCGCTTGCCGCTTATTTGGCCCCCTCTATATCCTATCCGCTGAAGCCGCGATACTTCCACCAAACCCGTTCGTCCCCCAAGGATCCGGCAATTTTCAAAAATAGTCTGCAAAAAACCCTCGAAGCCCACCGTTCCTCGAATCGAGCTAGTTTAATTCGCAGGATACCGACTAAACCAGACCATTCTGAATCGTCACCTGCAGAGGTTGCAAGCGGCGATGGGTCATCAAACGATTCATCCACCGCGGATGTAACTCTGGGCCAGTCTTCCTCGACCCCAAGAGGCTCGAAGAGGAGACTTCGCTCCATTCAGAAGTCCTATCAACCGCCTCGGACTACTTACGCACCTCAGCTGATACACTGGGATGCTGATCCTAAAAGGGGCCGGTCAGTTCAATGTCCATGGTTGGATGACTTGGACTCAACTCGGCCCTTCAGTGACGGCCTCTCCCAGCTCGATGCGGAGATCAAGGCACTTGAAAAATACCTCAGTCCGAGCCCACCAGAGGAGGAGAGCGTTCATCGGATAACCGCGCATATAGCTGGTCTTTTGGAAGGGACTGCGCCCCGTGCCCCCTGCATCATCGGATCATGGCGAACCGGGTTAGCCATGAGCCACTCCCATCTGGACCTTCTTCTCCCCGTCCCAGACTCAATACGGTCGAACGAACTTGTTCGGAAACCAAGCGCCACGCGTCCGCAGATTCTCACTCAGCATAAGCGCCTGCTCCGAGGTGTTGAACAGATTTTCCAGGAATGCCAATCCTTCAGCAACAACATCACCTACCCATTTACCACCGTCCATCACGAGACGGGTCTCCGCGTACGCTTCTACTGCGGAGAAGACATACCTCCCATGGTCGAGTACATCCAGGACTACTGTGCCGAATACCCCTCCGTCCGACCTCTCTACATGGCCGTGCGACTCCTCCTCGAATCCCAAGGCCTATGTGGCCAGGGTCCGAGATCTCTCAAACCCGAAGCCCTGGTCATGCTCATTGTAGCGTTCCTAAAGCTGAACCACGGCAAGTTCCAGCGACCCGACGGCCTAGGCGAGCGCCTCCTCGCCTTTCTCCAAATGTATGGCACCGACGTCGATCTCACGACGACCGGAATTGCCGTCGATCCTCCGAGTACTTTTGATGCAGACACCATTCGCTCCGCCAGCCGAATGTTCTCAAGTGAGCCGGACGAGGTCCCCGCCCATTTGCGCGGTCAGCGAGCCATCATCAATATGAAGAAATCCGCCGTGTCCATGGGCAACACAGCCGCGGCTACACGGCTATGTCTGCAGAACCCCACTAATTATCTGGATGACTTGGGCCGTTCTTGTCTTGATACCCCACAGCTGCAGGTGGCGTTTGCGCGCGCTCACGGGCGTCTTCGTATGGCTCTCAAACATTGGGAGCAGTGCGCGCCTGTCACTCTGGATCACAGTCTGCTGAACTCGATCTTGCAGGTAAATTTTGATGACTTTAATCAAGTGCGCGACCGGCTTACTGTCGGGACGGTCGATCCCACGTGACGTTTTGCGGCCTAAGATCTTCTACTTAACAAAGAGCCATCTTTACTTTCTTAATCATTCATGTACTATAGCCCCACGTATGGGGAACACCTCTGTATATATACTCTTCCCTCAAAAAGATTTAATTAACATCCAAATCTATTAGACAATACCCGGTGCTGCCGACACACGTGCCAGGCCACTAGGATGCGTAGTAAGGTATCAGTGAGATGATGACATGGAGAGAATAGAAGTTGGAACATTGAACGCCTGAAGAAAACAAACGCCCGCTTGATATGCAGTGAGCTGTCAACCACCAGCCACCCGAAGATTACACGGGATGACTTTCAATGATGATGTTGGGAGGTGGGGGAAGAAGGGGCTGTGATAATCGTAGAAGAAAGAAATCTGGTTCAGAACGGAAAGGGGGATCGGCAAGTGTGAATCAATATAGTATTAGTACATCGAGTGAACACACATTGACAGCGACTCAGTTGCTGCTCCACAGTTAGCATTTGATGCGATGCGTTTGTGTCCACGCCGGG